AAAGCTGACTGAAAGCGATTGATATTTTTTGCTTTAAACTTAGTTTTATGTAATAAACATTTTCTATTGTTTTTGAAGACTTAAATACATTTTAAGTGTTTTTTTAGTTAAACATGATCATTGATAAGGACGTCATCGCCGCAAATTGTGTTCATAAAATCAAGAGTTCATAAATGGGTAATTTGTAAAGGAGATGTTACTATAAAACATGCTTTGTATTTATATAAGCATTCTGAAAATGCTTAGTGTTTTCAACACTAAAATGGCAATGTCAGTGCCTTCTCTACACTTTTTCAATGCATTAAAAAAAAAAGAAATTCTTAATTTATCTGGTATGGTACTCCAATCTTCAGAATGTGGATCAGAGAGAAATTAATAGGACTACAGTACAATTGCTCAAACATTCACAACGAATTTATTCCAACTGCTCCCGTCTGAGGTTAAACATAGTGAAGGACAGGAAAATTGTCGGACACTGACAGAACATGGCAATCATTAAAGCATTCAGCATTAATTGGAGCTTCCTTTTAAACATGGTCTAGCTCACTGAAACATTATACCCAATTTACATGTCAGATGAAATGTAACAAGGTTTTGCAAGTTGGAAAATTTCTACTGTCCCAAGGTATTTTTTGGGAACCTACTGTAGAGGAGTAAACCTAAATGTTTTTTAACCTCACAGCCCCAACCATTGTGTCGCTGTGATCGATCTGTTGTGGAATGATGGACCACTGCACCTATTTATTGTGAAAGTATGTTTCTGATAGTAGGTCTACATTTCTGTCCATGTCCATAAGCCGGTACTGTATAGTACAGTAATTTATAGTTAAAATGTTTCCTTAATTTATTTTATTAATTTCCTATGTTCGTGGCTGCAACTGCTGTACTGCATTCAGCACTTACTGTTTTGTGAACAGTGGAAGTTACAAACTTGCAAATTTCAATTCATTCATTCATTCATTCATTCATTCATTCATTCATTCAACTACAGTACTGTATATTTTAAGCGAGTATGAAGGGGGCCACTTAAACAATGTACTACAATACAGTTAAACAAATTATGGATAATATCACAAAGTAAGGGTTAATAACTCAAAGGGATATTATTAGAGTACTGTAGTGTAATCGAAAATGTCTAATGAAAAATAATTTCCTGTCCAGTTAACAGATGCTAAATAATGCTGTTTCTAAAATCAAGGATTGTTGTGATATGCATCTCATTGGAAGTTTTAACTTTAATATGATGATCTTTGGACAGACTGGAGACTGGCTTTATTGTCTGCCAGATTACAGTCACCAATACCGCAACAGGAAAATTATTCATCATCAATTTTTAAATGCTGATTAAATTTGTCATTAAAGGGAAACTCAAAATGTAAAAAATTAAATTATTTTACTGAATAGATAAATAATTGTTGATTGTTAAAATATCTGGATGGTGAAAATGAAAACCTTAATGAATAATATTTAAAATTTGAAAATTTTAGTTGTATTTACGATAGCTAAACTGATTAGTACAGGAATAGCTCCAACAATGCTATTTGGCAGTGTCACATACATAAAAAAACAAAAAAAGAATGAATGAAAAATTATAGAATTCTATGGTAGCAGAAAGTACTTTTGGCATTTTTTAAAAGGTCATCATGTTTATTCAATGTGATTATACTGTACGTAATGATGGCAAGAATGTAAAGTGCTATGTTAGACTGGTAGTTACTCATTCGCCCAACGATCTATTACAGCTGTACCTACACTACATATAAATATTTTTTCTGAGCCCCTCCATACTCGACCCCGCTCATTAAAAACAGACGTCATTTCAAGTGTAGGGAACAAGTGTGCCATACATACATACAGTAATTACCTACCTGCCATAATTAATTTTAAAAATGATATAAAATAATCAATGTGTACTTAACTATAGTAATTAAGTTGTAATTAATTAGTTTATCATGAGTAAAATATTCATCTGCATTGATACTATCTACCAGAATACTGTAGTTATTGAAATTGCTCTGGAAATGACTAGTTTTATATAAAAGGGGATTATTACAAAACACATGTTTGTAAAATGTTAATGCATACATCTCACTCATGTTTTTTTGTGAGTTTAATTTTAGCAGCAAATTATATTGTTATTTGTACTGTATGGTATGTCTCGTTAAACAAGGTGACTGGTACAGCATGTGTATTACTAAACAGAATTAGATTTGACATTACTAGTAAGGGTTACTGTGTTAGTGTACAGAGCAGTACTGCTACTGGTACAAACTTAAAGGAAGTGGCTTGGCTAGACTTGTAAGTAAGATCAACTTAGTACCATTAAATTAATAATACCAAATGGCAGCATGTCTTATTAATACCGTATACTAAGTGTTTGTATAGAGATGGTATGCCTACTGTACAATATCTATTCAGGAGCAGAATATAATATATTGCTGGGTGTGTAAATAACTTTCATCTATTACTCTATTATTACTACTAATTATTATTGTAATACTCTATTACAGTATTTGCTTTTTTAGACTTTTTATATGCATCTTTTAAATCGGTCAACATCTTTTATGTATCATTTTAAACGGTACAAGTTCTGAATTTTTGTCAATTTCATTATTATCTTTTTAGTGGATCGATTTTAGATGTTCGTATGATGTTTTACAAGTAAATGTTTTTATTCAATTGTATTTTAACTTTAATCTTTCCTTGTGTATTGTATTGCCAGAGGAAAACAAATTTCCAATTGTTTTATTGGACAATAAATGTCTTATCTTATCTTACTCTGCTAATTAGAAACTGTACAGTAATTATAACACTGAAACGAAGATGTGATATTACAATGAAAAAACAATATGAAAACTCTTTCCTCATGTCATGTGCCCATATATGGGCATGATCGTGTCGTAATACATCCAAATATGGGCATATGACATTATTTAAGATAGTCTGGACTAGGCATTATCTTAAAGCTCTGTCTGCAAAAGCATGTAATGAAAGTCTAATCTCTGAGATGTTGTCTTCAATGAATCTTTTTGAGTATCAGACATCAAAATGATACATTTTGTATGACAACATAGGCTGTTATTTTGGTTATTCAATTAAGTTCCTATATCAAGTACAACAGGAAAGTTCATTTTGAAATTCAGATGTCTGAAAAATGTCTCTAAAACTAAACCAAATTTTAATTTTGTTATTGATATACATGTTGAATGACTTGATTGAATTCATGGCTTGGGATTAGGCTACAAGGTAGGTAAAAGAGGAGGCTCTGTTTTGACCCTCTGCTTTTTCAGATCAATTCATTCCTCTGGTACAATAACATCCACTTTACAGTAAATTCATAATTCAAAAAATAGAAAAACAAATGAGAACATCCACTTTAAATTCATAATTCAAAAAAATAGAAAAACAAATGAGGCAGCAATGAAAGCAGCAGGAAAACTATTTTATTTTTGGATTGGCCAAGATTTATCAATCAAACCACATCTTACTCAAACTTACTCAAAACAAATTAATTGATTGCATTTTATGTAGACTTTTGTCTAAATGGAAGAGAGAGTACTTAACTGAATGTTAAGCACTAATTGATGGCATCACTACTTATTACTTTAGTCTGCAGACTTATGAGGTCATTAGAAAGTCTGGCTCCTATTAGCTTTTTGTGAGTTTTGTTATTTTGTAAACTAGACAATGCTCTACACAGCCGTATATTTTTGTTCCAGTACAATGGCCTACTAACACCATTCTCAAAGCAAGCTCTTAGCTTATTGCCTTATGTATAAATAACTTTAATTATTTGTTTATTATTTTATTTATTTATTTTCCCATCCAACAGCAAATACAAAATTTGCCACTTACTGGTGGAAACCAGAGTTTTAGTATTATTTATTTACATGTAATTAGTTTCCATGTTAGTATGGTCAAATAAATGTTGAATTGAATGTCTACTTGTTAAATGCTACACAACATTTTTAAAACCTTAAATTTAATCAAGATATTTTATGAAGTAATACTGTAAAAGAATTGAGAACATGTGTTCCTTATGTATGTTTATTATTACTATTATTATAAAGTAATTCAGAGACTAACTATTCTGCAGTACGTATAGTAATAGGCAACATTTATCATTTGGTAGCTTTTGGGGTGGGGTGGGGGTCACAGACTGTAACTATGTACAATATAAAACATATTTTCCTTGCCTTTTGGTTTAGTTGCTAAGCTCCCTGACTATTTGTGCAATTTCCCTGATTGATTTGTGGTTTTCAAATGGCCAATTGACCTAAAATCACAACAAAACGTTTTGTTAGTGTACGTTTTTAGTCTTTGTTCTGTGAAGCATTGATAATTTACTTTGGAGACTGCAATATGTTTTGTAGTGATGGAGCCAATGTTCTTCAATGCTTAACATAGAATGTTGATGGAGCCTGATTTCTTGATATATCAGAAAAATAACCATTTTTGTGGTGCCTTGATCTCAATTTTTATAAGAACAGTTAGATTAATGGAGCCTTGGAAAATAATTAAAAAAAAAAAATTTTGTTAGTTCTTGGTCTATAGTAAAAAAGGAGTTGGTGAAAATTGGTGAAATGATTACATAAATCTCAATCATTGATATAAACCAGTGAGTGTAACGTGTTGCAATCGGATTCTGTTGTTATTGTGTTTGTGAAAGTTTGTCATCACCAAGTTATATAGTGAAAATGAAATCCTGGATTGGTAGAGACTAATTTTAGTACAGTACATACTGTAGTAGGTGTCTATTTGACAAAAAGAACACTGGATTTGGAGCCTAGGTCAGTATCATTGAGTCTACATTCCTAGAGCCCGAGTAGCTCTAATGGAGTCACAGTTTTATCATTAATAATGATGGGAGTGTTCAGCGTTTGACCTTTTAAGGAAACATTTGTATTTATAAGCAAATTGTATATTTTTGTTGTTTTATTAAATTAGCAGTCATGCTGTAATTAACCTCTCCCTGAACCTTGCTGGCCCACCACTGGAGGATGGGTTATCAGCGTAAACTTCATTGTCAACATGATATCATTTTCTAATTAGGATACAGAATGCTGTCATCAAGCAGATACGCAGGGATTTAGTTTATAGTTGGCAGTGGTGGGTGGGGGCCACCCACCTCTTCTTTTCAACCCAGTGTAAAGCTAATTTAATAGTTATCCACCCACTTTAATAACCCCCTTGTCTATCCTTAAAATTCACTCTTATTATTCAGAGTTTACCAATGTTATTACCCACCCACCCTTGAAATGTCTACCACTTACCCTTGTTTCCTATAGCTACAACCTTGGATAAAATATTATTCTCAGTTTTTTTAGCTCACTGTCCAATATTTTTATCAAGTGTTATCTTTTTTTTTTCAGTATTATGTGCGAAGAATGTATGCAAAAGAGACTTTTTCCGTAAGTATCCGTAAGATCTTGAAGCATTTTTGTTTTCTTTTTTACAAGATTTTATCAAGGTACTGTAGCAGATTTAATTCATTGTTATAGTTACCAACCTGGAAGATCTGAAATGCGTGACTACACCGGTTGGGTGGGGGGTGCGCCCGAGTCCCCCGGGCTCCAGTGCGTTGTGACAATGAACGCGTCTGGGTTGTTTTGGTTGGGAAAGAGAAATTTTCTCGGTGAATTGATTCTCGAATGAGAGCTCTCTAATGGCTCAAGCTACTGCATGACCGTTTTCATATTTTTAATAAAACCAATTTCTTCTATTTTTAAATAAACTTTCTCCTGAATTTGTGATAATTCGTTATCACGCATAGACTTGTGCTAAATGTGTGACGATTTATGATCACGCATGCGTTTCATCCAAAATTATTTTGGAATGCGGGACTATCCCACAATATGCGAGACGGTTGGTAACTATGCATTGTTTTAATTTTTGTAAAAACACTCATCGTTTTTATTCGTCTTTTTCCATCTGATTTTGAGAATGACCTTTTCCGGTAGATACTGCACATGTTTAAGTCGCCTCTGTTGGTATGTGTGGTGTGGGAAATTTGTTTCTTAGGAATGTACAAAGCACTCGCAAGTCACTTAACATGCACTTCATTCTTTTTAAAAATATACTACCTTTCATGTTCAATCAAGCTATAACTTAATAAGATTTTATCCAAAAATCAAGTGTTGCGTTTGCAGGTTCTGTGAACAAATTGTAAAGAACTAAATATACTGGAGTTCATAAAACAATTTATGTTCATTGATTGCAGTAGCCCAGAAGTACTACTGTAAGTTACATGCATGAATAATCAATGATGCACAATGCTAGCACAAAGCAACCAAATTTTTCGGCACTACTGTAGAGTGTATGGTCACACTGAGTGGCGTGTCGAATGGCAGAGTGGTTAAGGCAGCGGCCCAAAACCTTCAGCCATAATGTTGGCGCTGGTTTGAATGGCACACTTGCCTATGGCTCTTGAGGTGGAGCAAGTTTTCTCGGATAAGGACTATAAACCGTAGGCCCAGTGTACACAAGGCTCGTGTGCACTATAAAGAACCCAGTACATCATTTGAGACTAGGAGGAAACCCTGGTGTACTGGTGACAGCCCCTGTGGTGGATGACGAGAGTTGCTGGTACGGGGTTACCGGGTAGCACATGCATAAAGGGACCCTTAGGAATGAAGAGAGTCATTGATCGAGTTACTAGTCCACATATCAAGCGCCATGAGCATCTTGTTTGATGAAATTAATATTATTATTATTATAAATATCTATCCCAGAAAATATCCCTCAACAGCAACCTCACAGAATCCCAGATAATTACTCCCATGACAGCAACCTCCTACTGTAGTCAACTATTCCCGGGACGAGAGTTTTTTTTTTCTGTAGGTAGGTTCTGTAGGTTTGATTGGCTTAAAACTTGCAATGGGCTCAATCTACCTGCAGAAAAAAAAACTTACACCCTGGACAGCTTCCTCTCAGTGGTAAAGTATCTGAAACAATTAGGCTGAAGACTTGCATCTCAGGCAATAAGCTCTAATAATAACAGCATTTACAGTATAATGCGCCGTCTATCTAGCGAACTATTCTGAGGCGCAGTGACTCTTTTTTTATATTTTTATATTGAATAGTTAAAAATGCAATACAATTGAATAATTAAGTTATAATTACATTTATTTACTAACAAAATATTAATTGCAATTATATACCTACCTTTTCCATTTTTCTCTATTTTATTCATTCTATCTATTCTATATTTTTTTCTTGCTTTTCTTACTATACCTTGTACTCCTCTTTTCTTTTTAGTTCCATCCCTTTTCAGCCTTGCATTTAATTTCTATACTTTCTAGACAACCTTTAACATCAAATAACCTAAACAGTTACCCTAAGCAGACTTCACCAGACAAAATCTCTAGACAACAACTTCCCAGACAATTACCCCTTAAACAACATCAAAGCCAAGTACCTCATACAACTCCCCATGGACAACGCCCTCCAAGACTACTACCCTTAATTTCCTACTCCAACACTAGTACCCTCGATAACCCCCTCAGTCTAATACACTTGATATTAATTACATACAAGAAATTTCTCAGACAATTTGCTCACTAGAATACATAACTTTTAATTTATCCTTTTATTTCCTTTTCCACCACAACCCTCATCTCCATCATTTTATTTTAATGTCAGTGTTTGTCTTGATTTTGTATTTCTTAGGTTTACCTGATGCATTTGCGAAAGTGGTGGTAGATGGATCAGGCCAATGTCATTCCACTGGTACCTGTAAGGGTACGCTAGACCCTAAATGGAATCAACACTATGATTTGTAAGTTGCATTTTAAATATTACCAATGAGTATAGAAAGGGAAAAGAGTACAGTCCTGTTTGTCACTTGGAAGTGACCATGGAAGTCATGATAGTTAGTTGTTTTTGTCATTAGTGGAATTATGCGCCACCAATCTTCCTTTTATACTGTATGCTGTCTTTCAGAGGTATATCGTCGGATGTTTTCAATCCATTATGATCATCGTCTTCCTCTGTATACTAAATTACCAATGTAATAAAAGGAAGAAAATGAGATGTGGATGAAGAAAACTGGAAAAATTATGTAACCTTATACCTTTTGTGTTTGCCACTATTGTGGATGCACCTCTGAGTGCCACACTTTTCAAAGTGATGTTGGAATTAAGATTATTTTATATATTAGTTATTGTTACATTGTTTCGTAGTGAGTGTGAAATAAAAAAACATACTTTTTTCTGAAATTTTCATGAGGTAGGTTCACTAACAGGCTAAAAACCTTTAGAAATATTTTTACTCAAAATCATTCTTTACCCTGAAATTATAATTATAATAATTAACTGGATGTTTAACCTTTTTTTTTATCTCTCCAGATTTGTTGGTAAAAATGACAGTATTACAATAAGTGTATGGAACCACCGGAAAATCCACAAGAAACAGGGAGCAGGATTCCTTGGGTGTGTACGGATACTCTCCAATGCCATACAAAGGCTCAAGGATACAGGATGTAAGATTCAATAGTTAATTATTAATATGATGTTAAAATGAGACTATTTTTTTTAAGTCCTAAAACTATTGGAGTATATTTAAGAATACATATATTTTATTTTGTTTAACAGAAGGTGGGAAAAAGGGCGGATATGCCTTTTTTCAGCCAGTTTTTAAATATTCAAACATATGTATCTTATTTAACCGTTGCCAAGTTTTAAGTTAGAAAATTCAGTTGTACAATGTATCAAAACATTTTTTCCCTCCAGAGCCTGGCTTTAATATTTAATTAAATTTATTATACAGTAAGCCACTTAAGAAGTATTCTATATACGGTCACATAGTATCTAGTTATTTTGTATTGTTTTGTCTTTGACCTTTCACCCCTTTCTTAGTTGGCCATGACTTGGGACATTGACTTTCGTCCATGTATCTGGCCTTTCTGACTAAATTTTTTTTTGTATTTCTGGAGATAATGACTTATTTTAATAATCTTTTGCATGCACAGTGAGTCAATACAATTTACCTGTGCATAACATTCATATATCACTGTTCTCAGTTGAGAGCTTGCAGTAGCTTTTGACGAGTGATCTGTTTGTTGGTAATAATGAATAAAAAATGAGCTGCATTGTGCTGAATCCCTTAAGGAAGGAAACTATGATAAATATGACTATTGTATGTAGTGTATTTACTATTGGGCAAATTGAGTCACTACAAATAGAATGCAAACATTTCATATGAATATTTTAAAATAGTTGTTTTTTAGACAAAATACATTTTAATTAAATATGATTTGTGTATTTTAACTGATTTGAAAAATAAGTGATCCTTTTACACATTTAAGAATTTTATTCAAATTTTGATGATTTCCTAATATCAACATTAATATTTATAAGTTATTCCCAAAATGTACGTTACCCTTTATGCAATTGGTGCTGTAAATTTTGTAGTGTTAATTTATTCAGTAGGTATTAAACTGCATCTGCTGTGTGTCTTGTAAGACTTGGAGATTTAAAGCTTAAGTCCTTAAGACAAATTGCTACAGGATTGAAATCTAGTTTTGACTGTGAATGCTTAGGTGTATTTTAAGTGACTGCAATAAGCAATACTGTATACTGTAAGACTCAAAAAATACATTTAGTTAGTTTTGTCAAAGATCTTATGAACACAAGATCGTTCTCCGCGATTTACGCGTGCAAATTCTGTAATAAGGCATGAATGGCGCCCTCTTGCTAAATTGGAAACTTTTGACCTTTGACCGCTTTGACCATACCGTACTGTGAACAGCAGAACAGGAACCATCTCAAATCCATGGCAACAGATAGGACGCCCTCTTCCAAAACTGATTACTTTTTATCTTTGTTATAATAGCGCATGAATGGCGCCCTCTTGCTAAATTGGAAACTTTTGAACCTTGACCGACGCTTCTATTTGTTACGCGTAAATCGCGGAGAACGCTATCTTGTGTTTATAAGATCTTTGGTTTAGTTCACTAGTCACAGTAGCTTTAAGATAATTCTGAAGATTCTTGAGAAAGATTTTACACTGATGAAGGTGAGGAGAATAATAATAGGCCTGCTGCTGATGTTGAATATGAGGAGGATGTTAATATTGCTGATGTTGAAAATGAGGAGAGAATGGTATACCATTGTATGTTACCATTAGTATATTGTCGTTGAGGGTAATGCTACTTGGCATATAACAGACAGTGGGCATTAAGATTAAAGATGGTAATAGTCTATCTGTAGTTATTATGCATTCACAATTTGATTTATTCTTCTCTCAACAGACCAACGCTTAGATCTTTGTAAACAAAGTCCTGATGATAACGAGACTGTACGTGGTCAAATCGTGATTAGCTTAATGTCTCGTGATCGTGGAGCATCTTCCGGTAGTGCCGTAATCGACTCCAGGAGCATCTGTCCCTCTTTACCACCAACAGACCCAAATGAGCTCCCAGAGGGGTAAGATACATTTTTATTTGACCACAATGCCGTTTGTTTTAATATTTGCTGACCAGCTAGAGAAAAGCTCTAATTTTGGCTCATCAGGATTTTTTGAGGGTTAAGGGATTATGAGGATTAGCAGGATAAGGATGTCTAATTTTGGATTATGATTTCTGTACCATATTATGGATACAGCAATTGTATTAATTTGTGTTATTTCATCTTATCTTGCCCAAAAGTGGTGACACATATTTCATCATGATGTCAGTGATAGTATGATAAATTCTGATTACTTTCAACTTTGCAGAGTGCAAGAAGAGAATAAAGAGAGTTTTTTGTGAGCTATAATAATTTTACTAATAGATCATTTACTTAATATTTATTTATTATCAGTAAAATGATAATTTTCTGTACAGTGGGGAAGCATGCTTACTTTTGTAAATTAAAACAATTTTTAACTTTAGGATTTGTGGATGAAAGGATTTTTAAGATGTGGATTAGGAACATTTAATATGTCACTCCTCTATTTTGTACAGTGTATACCATCTCTTTCATATCATATAAGTGGGGATGATCTTTTCATAGTTCTTGGCAAAGTCTTTTGTTGACTTGGACTTGTAAGCACTCCTCTGTTTAGGGTTGGCGCCGGCAGGTGGGCCCTGCAGCCAGTGGAAGTTGTCAAAGAAAAATTAATTGAAAATTAAGCACGAGACAGTTGGCATTTTGAGGCATCTATGAGTAGAAGTGACATATTCAATTTTCATTTGCCGTAGCCCCGACCATGATGTGGCTCAGGTGGGTGTGGCTCTGATGGATGTGGGTCCCTCTTTTGAGGAAACGTTGATACCACTGCTGCTCTTTTGCTAGATACAGGCTTCATAAATTTTATATTTTTGAAGGTATTTTTTATGAATAAGATATATTTTCATTTGGTT